AAAAAAAAAAAAAAAAAAAAAAAAAAAAAAAAACCAGAAGCTTTAGTAACTCTAGTAATATATAAAATCTAAATCATAAGCATTTTCACCTCTTTATACTGAGTACAAAGAGATTTTTATTCAATTGTAAGTCCACAGAAATAAAGTTTTCTAAGAATTAAAAGCTATTTAGGTCATATCAATTTTGGCTTTAAAAAAATGAAAACTTTCACTAATAAACTTTCACCCCAAAACGAAGAGATATTTAAAATAGCTATTTTGGGTGCGTATTATGGCCCAGGCATTGTGCTATAAGTGCTATATACATTGCAATATGTGTGTGTGTATACATACACATATACAATACATATACACACATATGTATACATATATATGGATACAGATATTAGTCCTGTTTTGCAGGTGAGAAAACTAAAGATGTGTAACATTATTCTCTTGCTCAAGATTAGAATTATCAGTAGAAACAGGATCTGAGCCCATATAATCTGACTTCAAAGCTCTTAACCAATGTGATATTGTTTTTCATTCTACATAGCCTATGTCCACTTAAAATTTAGTTTAGTAAATGATCTGTGTTGTTTAATAGTGCTTTCTTTCTCCCAAGTTACTGAACATGCATTATTAATCTGTCATTCATGTTTCCATTTTTAACAACATCTTATAACTTCTTGACAAGATTCCTAAAATATATTAATTTTTTTTTTTTAATATTAGGAAGACCTCTAATTGTACCTTTAAAACTATGGGACAATCTCTTAGAAATGTGGTTTTTCTTCTTGGTAAGAAGAAATGGGTGATGTTCTGCTTTGGCAAAACTAGATTCAAGATCTTCCTCAAAAAAGCCCTTGGTATTGGGTTCACTGTTCCTATTAACATTAGACTTATTTGCACAGAAATTCACCCAAAGGTATTTTTAAATTTTAGCTCTAATGCTATAACGCACACACTGGTCCTAACTAACAAACTTGAGAATATTCCCATTTTTAATCCTTGGTCATCTACTAGAAAAGTGTAAATGCATGATTAATTTCAGATCACCTTACATAACAGGCATGGAAAAGAGGCCTAACTCTAATTTAATCCAAAACAACCTTGCTCCCTAAATCTTAGCCCAAATCAATAAAACTGTAACAACAATACCTAACCTCTGACTATTCTTCGCAACACCCTATGAGGTAGGTACCATTACCAATCCTATTTTACTGACAAATAAATCGAGTCATAGAGAGGTCAAATAACTTGACCGGAGTCACTGGCAGAAGTGGGATCCAAATCTAGGCAGTCTGGCTTCAAAGCCCAGTGTTTGGCCACTATTCTACCCTATCACAGTATATTCTCTATTAAATACATAAGAAATTAATGAGGGTAATCTTCCTTTACTTACCATAGCTATTACTAGTCAAGTTCTAATATACCACACATTAAGACAAACCAAACTGGCAGTTTTCCTTTTATAATATTTATCTTATAAATAAGATACATAGGTTTTATATAAAAAAGACTAGAAAGTGAAATCATTTATTTTTCTCTATATTTCATAAGTAAAAAAAACTCTGTAGAAATCATAACCCTACTAAAAATAGATATTTGGGGTACAAATATGTTTTATTAATATATATACTAGATATTACCTTAAAATCAAAATCTTATCTACTACCCATCAAAAAAATTGCATACCTGAGTTCCTTGGTCTGCAGATCTATAGGATCATGAGTTTCACTGTCCATGTGGAATCGAACTTCTGGAGAAGAAAGAGTCAAAGCCCTAAATAAGATAAAGAGGTGAATCAGTCATGTGAGCAGTAACAGATATAATTCTGGAAATGATTCTTTTAAAACAGAAAATGATTAGAGCAAGTGCATAACAGTTTTTCTTATGAAAGCTTTATGACCATCTGCTAAGTTTTATGTCCCATTTTCACGGATAGCCTAATATTTTACAGCTCTAAAATGCATTTAAAAAGGGAGGACAGTAGCAACACAACAAAATGAGTCCTTGTGTTTCTCAGGATTTGAATGACTTCTGTACCGAAACTGAGTTTTTACTTAGCTACAAGAGTTTGTAATCAGTTTTATAAATAAAGAAGATAATCAATAGTATTTTATTTACTATAGGAAACAATGTATTAGGGTGAGGGATGGTGGAGAGAGGCAAAAGGGAAGCTGCCATGGGTAGATCAGTAACATCAGAAGATCCCCAGTTCGAAAGTATCTTCCACATACACTCAACCAAGGAGAGGAGACAAACTACAACTAATGTCACAAACACTAATGGCTATTAATATCTGAGTGCTGTGGGTCAGAGAGTGCACTAGGCTAAGTGCTTTACATGCACAGTTCATTTAATGATTTGGCAAGTTCTCCTTTGAAAAGTAAATTCCCACAAGGCAAGGCAAGTATAATGTTTCTACACACCTTGATGCTATTTTCATCAGGTCAGCTCCAAATCAACCTAAAACTAAGAATTTTAATGAGGCTGGGTAACTTTGGACAATCACAAAAAAGGGAAAAAGATGATTTGGGGCAAGTTAAGTGGGATTCCAAGTCCTTTTTTCCCTTGACTCTTCACCTTTATTAGAAGAACTACAGAAGAAATACTAGAGAGGGAATCCCGACAAATATTCCTTTCTTTCCATGCATAATTTACAATAAGGTTCTAAACCACAATTAATCTGTGTTAATCTATACATCTTGACCTAAAGAGCAAGGTATACTAATCACATTTTGATCACTTTTTCTTCACAGAACATTTAAAACGTGACATTTATTCTTTAACATAGACATATGATAAATATAATTTAAGACACAACACATCCTTTAAGAAGGTGAAAGACACCAATTTTTTTTTACTGATTCCTTTCTCTATTCATCCTAAGACTGAGAAGACTCGATGATATGTTTTACCAGTAGATGACTATCTATCAATACTTACAAAACTAGAAGTACAGTGTTCAAGTTAGCGAAATATCTTTCCTGTCCTAATTAGCGGAAGCTGTTACAGATGCAAATTTACATCTCTTACTTTAAAACTGCCAAAATAAATACAGTTTCAATTTGTTTTATTCACTTTGCTTTTACAACAAACTTTCTTCTGATGCCTGGCATACTGAAAACCTTCAATAAACGAATATTTGATGAAAAATGTGTTGTTTTGTATTACAAAAGAAATCTAACTATACTCCTCTTATTTACATCTTAAGGACAAACTTGAGCAATAATTTCATTGGGTTTTACTACATCCAAATTATCCTTATATAGTTCCAAGTTTCAGGAGAAAATTCCCAGAAAACTGAAGTGTGAGTAGAGATAGGGTTGGCTCAGCATAAATGCCTAGAACAACACTGTCCAATGGAACTTTCTGCAGGGATGGAAATGTTCTCAATCCACCTTGTCCAACATGGTAGCCACTAGCCAAATGTGGCTACTGAGGACTTGAAATATAGCTAGTGTGACTCAGGAACTGAATTTTTTATTTTAATTTTAATGAATTTTAATTTAAATAGGCACATCTTATGAAAACAGCACAGATCTAGAGTTTGCACTCCCCAACAAAAACACTTTTAGTAACTACTTGTGACCCTACCCTAGATGGGCACAGGAACCCAGAGACCAACATATGAAAGGCTCAAGAACCTGCTTTACTCTGACAGTTGATGTTTTTCAAGAATCAAATTTCTTCTAACTATTTCAACAAGTTTGGGTACTTGGATACTCCTTAAAACTCCTCTGCAGTTTGGCAAATGCCATGATATAACAGCTAAAAGTTGTAAACCTGCCGCTAGCAATCAGATCTTTGGTAAGACTGCTTCTAGGTGACTCTTAATCATTTAAAAAATGAAGATGTTGGGGGCTTCCCTGGTGGCACAGTGGTTGAGAATCTGCCTGCCAATGCAGGGGACACGGGTTCGAGCCCTGGTCTGGGAAGATCCCACATGCCGCGGAGCAACTAGACCCGTGAGCCACAACTACTGAGCCTGCGCGTCTGGAGCCTGTGCTCCGCAACGAGAGAGGCCGCGACAGTGAGAGGCCTGTGCACCGCGATGAAGAGTGGCCCCCACTCGCCGCAACTAGAGAAAGCCCTCGCACAGAAACAAAGACCCAACACAGCCAAAAATAATAAATAAATACATAAATAAAAATTAAAAAAAAAAAAAAACTAAAAAAAAAAAAAAAATGAAGGTGTTGGATTAAACAACCTCTAAAATCTCTTCCAACTCTAAGTGCAAGAAGGACTTCATCTATATTTATTTTAATATCTGAAAACCAATGTTCAATCTTGAAACTCATTTCTAATTAAAATCAGGAATGATCCAAATAGAACAGTCTTAAGACAATCTTGCCTTCCTAGAATTTCTTCAAGATCTTTAACTCAAACATATCAAGATCTTTGACACAACAGAACTCTTGAACAAACCAGAATCAAGTCCAGAATCAAGCTGCTAATATTTAAAAAGGTATCTAGAAGAAACGGAATGTTTCTACTTAAGAGCCCCTATTCAGCCTATTAAATAATTCATCACTGTCCATGATAAAACACTTTAAAGAGTTCACAAGTTAGCTTAATGCCAGGATAGGTGAATTAAGACAAATCTTAATAACTATTTTTGAAATGTACCCATTTTCAATTCTTCCTTTTTTCAAAATTTTAGCTAGTTTATTTAGTCCACGGAGACTAGTAGTAATACTATCATTCATGGTTGCTGAATCAATTCTCATCTGAGCTTCAGCATATGTAAGGGAAGCCTAAAAAAGAAACCATATGTTAATACAATGCTTATAAAAACTGGCTTACTATGTTCTCATATTTCCACTATATAAAATCCATGATTTCAGAAAACCTAAAATCAATAACAAAAGAAGAGATTCCTATCTATAATATTTATACTCCACACCTATGATTTCTGGTTCATTTACTCTTATCTGATGCATTACACAACATAAGCGAACTTATGTTAAAACAAAATAAAATGGTAGAATGGTTAGTAAATAGTTTAAACTATTTACTCATAGTTCAGTTAATGTATAAATACTTAGGTAATGTTAAAATAAAATAAAAGGAAGGTTAGATTCTCTGATAATGACTATAAAGTGAAATCCTTTCCGGAGAACCAATACTGCCTTACTCACAGCAAATAATTAATAAAATTGTAATAGTCTAGACATTGTGTTTTATAGGAAATCTACTAAATACCCAAAATTAGGTATTTAACCTAAGAATCGGAAAAATCATAGTAGAAAACATTAATTTCCAATTACAATACAAATAGTACCTCTGTTCCTATTTCCCTCCTTATGTAAAACACCATTTTTTAGCTTTTTTTTTTCTAAGCAGCTTTTTGAGTAAAAATCAGGAATAGTACAAGAGAGTTAGGTGATGCAGACCAGGTCAGATTCTTGGGAGGACCAACTTATCTATTAGGGGATAAGAGTTCCCCATCTAAAAATGTTTTCTGTTATATGCTTACTAATTTTTTTTTCATATAATTTTGTTACACTGACCAAGTCTAGGAGAATTATAAACTCATCCTATTTAAAAATACTAATCTAGGAAAATTTAAATCATTCCCACATTACTATCTGTCAGTTTAACATTGCTTTCTTTCCAATCACTAGCTGATTAGAAAAGAATGATGTCAAAGGGAGAGAAAAAGCCGGCAAACTTGGAAAACAGATCATTGGAAGAAAAGTGGTTTGGCAAACATCAGAGGTAGATTCAGGGCAAAATGAGAACACAAGGGAATCTGGGGAAAAGTATTAAAAAAAGGAGAAGAATGAGAAACATAATCTGGCTCCGTTCTGTGTGAACATCGAGCTCAGGCTAGTCCTACTGGAATTCAACCATGATTTATCACATTATTTCAGTGAGAAAGTGTGAGGAACAAGGAGACGGTGTACATGCCATCTTTTAAAATACTAACCAGTTATAAACTGGGACAACTTCAAACACTGGAGTTCCTGAGTTAGGGCTGAAAGAAACCTACTTGGTCTCCTCAAGTATATAGGCTTGGTAAGTTTCTGAATACAGGAATAAACTCATTTCTAAATAACAGCAAAAATTAAGCAAGTAACTGAAAACAACTAGAGTTTGCTGCAACACTGGGGAAAAACTTCTTCTTATTATTAATAAGCCTAACTTTTTCAAAACAATCTAGAACATTGTTAAAAGCACCAAAGATGTTAAACATGAAGTAGTAACCATGAAACCAACCTTTGAATTAATGACACTTTTGGTAAACCTTGTTTTTAAGATTTCTGCATTGTGATTCATTTCCCAAATACATGAAAATGCCAACCTATGAGGAAAAATAGATGGTATTTGTTAATGGGAATCAGTTATAGAAGTAAATACTATGTTTTTATGAAGAAATGTGATAAGTACCTGTCAACGTTAGATCTTAGGGAACATAAGTTAGAGCTAAGCAACTCTGGAACCATGTCAATCCTCTGGAACAAATAAAATAGAGTTGTGGATTACCGAGCTGTCTCCACATGTTTTTTGAGGTTCTACTCTCAAATATCAATAGCATTGAACTTACAAGGGGAAAAAAAAGGCCTTTGTGAAAAGAAGTGAGAAAATGTGAAATAAAAAGTCTATTTCTAGAAAAGTAGTTACACACAATTTTTACAAGAGGGAAGCAATGAAAGAAAACTGGATTTCATGTCAGTCGGTCTAAGTTTAAGTTCTCTACACTACCCACCTAGCTGTGCTCTGAAACTTTGAAATCTCTGGTCTGTACAATACGTTTGTACCAGATAACAGACACAGGCCCTAATAGCTCTACGACTGGACCTTCCTCCAATACTTCACACAAACTACATGGTGTTTTCAACATTCTAAAAAAAGAGAAACACTAAAATTTTATGGAAAAAAGCTACACAGAAGAACTTTGACAATGAATTTACCACAGACTAAGCTTAACTTTCCCTTCTACTTTCACAATTTTTCTCTGTAAGTTTATGGGAGCATACTTAATGAAGAATAAATGGTAAATTGTGACAGAACAGACTCGACTTAACTATATATAAGAAACAGAAAATATATTAATTACCCACCAATAATAAGTTAAATGCTACACAACAATTTATATCAACTACGTCTACTTGTTATTTGGGTCACTCAATAACAAAACACATTGCAATATTTTCACTGATTTAAGGCCATCTTATTCTATGTATGTCTTTTAGCTAATTCATGTACTATTCCAGACTGTTCAAGAATCCAAAAGTGCCCATGATTTTGACAAACTGCACAATTAACAAAGTAGTATTTCATATTTCACTATATACTGAGGCTGTCCTCTTCTCAGGAAATACCTCAGATGGTTTTATTATTAAGAATAAAACAGATGATGGAAATGATGTATCAAAATTCCACTCTAAACTTAACATATTTACCTTTTCACAAAGATACACAGTTGTTCCCCTTCTAGCTGATTCTTGATCCAATGCATTTCCTGGTCTAATAAAATAGCTAACATCAGCAATATGAACACCAACCTTAAAAAGATAAAAAGGATGTCAACATGCTTAATTGGGTAAATGTACTAATGGAGTTCTAATGAGAAGAAATACGGCCAAAAGGAAAAAGGACCTTAGTCACAGTTACCATTTCAATTTTTTACATGCCCATTAGTCTCTGCAGCTACAACTGACTCTACTTGACATAAATAACTCACAAACAAATTCTACAATAGGTCAAAAGAAAATTAACTCAAGACCAGAACTATATTTGGATAGAACGTCATTATAATTATGAATACCTCCAAATTTCCATTTTCAAGTTCTCTACAATGGAGAGCATCATCTATATCAGTACATCCTGGGGGGTCCACACTACAAACACACAGATGTCTCAGGTCTTCTCTGTTTTTCATGTCCTAGAAGATGCCACATTATTAAGAAAGAAAAAACTATTTTGGTGGTACAGATGTAACACAAGCTCTTATGCAATCAACAATATCTATAAATTAAAAAAAAACAGCTTTATTTCTTAATTATAACTGCACATCATGATTTATAACTTGTGAACTCTTCATCTTAGGAAAATTTGACATAAGCTAATGTCTGTCCCCTAGAAAAGTCTGTCTTTCAGTAAAGCAAATGATTTCCATGATACCTAAGAGTTCTGTACCAAACTAAATGCAGGGGAGGAGGGAACTACGGTTTCTACATATTTTAAAAAAACACATACAGAAATCAAACAAAATTAGTAGCTCAGATACAGTGATTCACTAAGAATTCTTTTCAACATACCTTCTCAGTGATGCTCCAGGGCATCTTTGGTAGAAGGCTAAGAACAGCCTGTGAGAAAGGCTGATGGGGAACATCATGCTCAAGTAACAAAACTTCCGTTTCAGTCTCTTTGTCTCCGACTTCACCTAAATTTTTTACGAAGTGCCCCTAAAACCAAAAGATATTATTAGAAAGGTGTATTTTACAGCTTTTTGTTTGGCAATTTATATTTTACTATCACATTAAATCCCTGAACATTTACATATCACTTTAGTATTTCTAAATGTTCTCCACACTTCTTAAAAATGACAACTAGGTAAATTAAAGCTAAAAATGACAAAGACTTCTCAAGTGATTTATGGGGGAGACTTCCCAAGGGCCTGGTTCTCATATAAAAAGGTGTCTGTTTATTTTCTATTATTTTTCAAGTTTAAAATGTGCTTCAAATATCCTATCTTCCAAATTTGTTTATTTGCAATCTACTTAGGTCTCAAATGCTGTTTTTGTAGTAGCTGTCACCAAAAGTTATTTGTTAGGAAGTCTGAGTAAAAGTCACCAAATGATTCACATTGGAATTTCCTAAAATTAATTTTCAGCTTGGACGTACACTTACCAGGTAACTGTGAAATACTTCTAGATCTCAGTATGTATTTTATACAAAAGCAGATTCTATTTTCAGTAAAAGAAGCAACTTTATTCCCAAAGTTTTAATTAAATATTCTAAAATAAAATGATTAATTCAAGCTTACATTTGGATATCTGGAATTTCTGGGCCAACCATCAATAGCAACAATAATTCTCTGCCCTTCTAATGTAGACGCCTTTCTGGTTTCTATCCGAATTCTAGGGATTCTCTTATCAGCAGGAGTAAAGAGATGTCTTCTTGACTAGAGAAAATTAGGAAAAAAGATTTTACACATACAAAAAAGGCTGGGGATGGGGGCAAGGTGAGTGAGGGCTGTAAGTTCTATTCAATGTATTTCATTTTCTATTACATAGCAACATGCTCTTTACTCACCTCTTTAATATCAGACTTGGAAAGCATGCCACAATATGGTCTCCAGTTCCTTCTTATTATTCCAACAACTCTACCTGTAGGCTTTAACATTTTTTCACTTACAGCAGTCTTAAGCTGAGATGTAAAAATAAAAGTAAAAATCTTCAGTTATCTTTCCTGTAAGGATAATGAGACAATTTCCCTTCAAAATTAGAACACAGGTACTTTCTCAGGCAGTAAATTATGACATAAAACTAAGGAATTTTGATGCTTCAAAATTCTAGGCAAGAGCATGCCAAACAAAACTACAAAAACAGTTCCATAGTAAAGCACTACAAAAAAACAAAAGTAACTGAATAAATATGTCAGAACTGGACTCTGCAGTTTTAATATGAAGATTTACTGACTTGCATACATGTGCGTGCACACACACACACACATGCACAGGTCTGGTAATTAAAAGACTAGGATTTTAGTACTAGTTTTCAATAATTAGCTGAGTGGCATTCATTAATTCATTAAAAAAGAGACGTATCTTTAAAGGTTCGTCCTTATCCAAAATATAAACCCAAACAAATAATAGTTTTTATTAGAAACAGCAGAAGAACCTTATGGTATTTCACCTCTAACACTCTCTTATGGCCTGGACTCTGCAAAGATAATGTTATAGTAAGACTCCAGAGTAGTGAATATAATTCATATAAAGAGAACTACTACTAATGTTGTGTGAATTCCAACTAATTGTATTATTGTTGTAATTCTAAAATGGGAAAATAAATAGGTCATATCAGGTAGACTTTAGGTCAAAAGAAACACCTGAAAGCACTCTCTTCATAATAAATATGGTAATAGAGAAGGAATTATTAAACAGACCTATTTGTAAGGGCCCAGAAGTACATCTCTTATGCTGAGGGAACTTTAACATTACATAAAGGCATTTCAGAAAATTTTAAATTTTTATTTACTTAAACCTCACTAATTCAGCCAGACCGTACACCTGAATGTCAGAATTCAAGTTTCATACTCAAGTCTTTTTGTATTTAAACCTTTGTTTTATTTGAGCAAAAGAAGACATTAATTTAAAAGCAGACTACTTAGAGGAAAAGAAATCAACTATGTGTATGACATATATTATTAAACTGACAGAACTATAATTTTATTCATTATACCTAGCGAATAAAATAAATATTAATAAAATAAATCTGAAAGCAATGAAACTTGTTTAATTTTTTCCAAAGACAATACATTAACAACTTATTCAAAGCTTATTCAGACAAAAAAATAAAACTTTCTTGGTTTCATACAATGCATTCTCTCTCCTCTTCTTTCTCCATATCATCTTCATTTTGACCTTCGTCAAGTAAAACCACAGAAGATGGTGCTACCCACTGATTCTTCGGAAGAAGCTCCACAGCCACAATATCTTCATGAATAGCTCGGTTTAAATTTTTAAGTCCTTGTAAGATTATCTGTGTGAAACAGCAAATGACACGTGCCCAGATATTTTCAAAGGCAATATAATAATGGGAAGGTTGCCTACAGAAGTTTAGATATATTCTGATGTCTCTATGTTTCTATTTCCCCTCCTTTATATATTTTCTTCCTTTATAGTGGGGCCCTTTACTCTGCCCTCTTAATTTCTCAATAGCAAATAGAAAAAACATGGTCAGAAAATATGGGTTGTGTTCATGGCTCTACCATAACTCTTACATTAGTAACACAATTTCTTAATCTCTCTAAATCTCAGGGTCCTGATTGGTAAAACAAAAAAGAGAGTACCTACTCTTACAGGCAGAGTTGAAAATATATGAAATGCAGCATTCAAAGCAATGAGATGAGTACCTGCCCAATAGTGAGCACCCCAAAACAACTGCTATTTGCTTTAAAGTGTGTGAAGCTCTCCAGAGCAATTATACATTATGTAAATAGTATTTCCCACAATAGATCATAATACAGAAAATAAAGGTACCATAGTGGGGTTTTTTATTGATTAGATTTTTATTCTCTTAAAAGTGGGTTAATAGTTCTTTTCCTCAATAAGCAGTTTTTTGAAAAAGTGATTAATTCTACTAGTATCTACGACCTTTCACATAACTTTCTTCAAGCTGATAAATTGGGAGGATAAAGCAAACTTAACTTCTTGTACAAAAATGTTAAACACTTGTGAAAAAAAAAACAGAAAACATTTTAGTGTAAAAGGAATTTATGTACACACTTGCCTCTTTATTGTCTTCAGTGTCACCATGAACCCATACTGTAGCTTCTAAGTAATTTTCCCTGCTAGCTCTAAATGTCCCTTGAAGGTATGCACCAGATTTTATGCCTTGTTGTAGCTTACTTAATGGAAGATGCTCTGAAAATATTATTTTTCCACTATCTATTTCATTCTGTGAAATAAACAAACCAAGAGATATAGTTAGTAGTGAGTCTTTTGTATGCTCCATATACAACTATTAACACCATCAGGTATTTTTTAAAACAACCATCACATTATGGTATATACCACTGTATGAATTTGAATGAACATAGCACAGTAAGAAAAAAAAGCTTTCTATTCTTAGAAATACACAAACATTTCCATTTCATTATATTTAGGTGTCAGCTACAGATGCAGAACACTAAGAAACTCTGTGTACCCCCCCTACCCCTACCCAGGCCTCCTGGAATGAAGGTGTGTAGTTAGGTGATCAAGTGAGCGGGTAGGTATATAAAGGGTAATGGAAAGCCTCAACTGCATGAAAAGACTGTGGTTCCTGAAAGCACAAGAAAAGCTATTTTTATTTGGATTATTTTAAACAGCTAAGGATGTTAGATAGAGGTAGGCTGGCGTCTACTGTAGATCCACCACAACACCTTCCAGGATTCTCTAAGACCTCAACATCCACAATCCTGACTGCTTGGCTCCTTTAGTTTTCTTCATTTCCTAAATTCCCTACCTTCTGAGGAGATCACTTTACACCTTCTTTTTTCCTGCTTAACTCTCCAAGTTCCTTGTCTTCCTTCCTCACTCTCAGATGAAGGACCTCAATCTCCACACTGAGAATCAGAAGCAGTCACTCGAGACCTACTTCACCTCCCTACCACTGAATCTGCTCACCTATGTGAGCACCTCCTGTCCTCTATTCAACAACTTTGTCCTATAATTACTTTCTCTCTCTGGAATCAAATTTCCCCCCTCTCTACTATAACATCCTCACCATCATATAAACTAATATAACCTATTTTTAAAAAATATGGACCTATTAAATACTATGATCCATTAAATAAATTAATGATATGGTCTATTAAAATACATTAATTAACTGATTATTTCCTCATAGCCCCAATCTATCACCAAGTCCTAAAATCAACAAAATATTTGTATCAACAAAATATACCCAATATCTGATCTACTTCTCACCACCTTAACTGCTGCTACCGTGATCCAATTTTCTGTCTTGTCTCCCAGGGGTACTAAAATATCCTCCTAACTGGAGGACCTTGCTTCTAATCTATTCTCCTTAGAGCAGCCAAAATGGATATTACTACTCTCCTGCTCAACAGCTGTCTAGCACTCATGGGCTAAAATCCAGTTTTTTTTCCATGACTCACTACACCCTAAATGATCTGGTCTCTACCTACATTTCTGACTTCATCCCTAACATTTTCTCCCTTGCTCACTCCATCCAGCCACACTTTTAGCTATTTCTTGATCTTGCCAACTTATTCTAACCTCAGAGACTTTGAACTTACTGTTCCTTCTGCATGAAATGCTCTTCCCCTAGTTAATGTTAATACATGGTTAACTCCCTTACATAAAGTAGCTAAAATGTCTCTGTTTCAAAGCAATTTGCTTTGTTAACATCCCTCCTAGCTCAGCTTAGACACTACTTCTATCAGGAAGCCTTGACATCCCAAATCGGGGTTAGATGCCCTTGCTAAGTTCAGTCAATTCTCCTATAATGTTTGTTTTGAAAACACAAATGTGTTCCAATGCAATTGATATATTAAAAAATACCAGGTGACAACATAGGAGCACCTCAATACATGAGGCAAATGATAACAGCCATAAAAGAGGAAATCGACAGTAACACAACCATAGTAGGTGACTTTAACACCCCACTTTCACCAGTGGACAGATCTTCCAAAATGAAAATAAATAAGGAAACAAAAGCTTTAAATGATACATTAAACAAGATGGACTTAATTGATATTTATAGGACATTCCATCCAAAAACAACAAAATACACTTTCTTCTGAAATGTTCATGGATCATTCTCCAGGATAGACCATATCTTGGGTCACAACTCAAGCTTTGGTAAACGTAAGAAAATTGAAATCGTATCAAGTATCTTTTCCGACAACAACACTATGAGACTAGATATCAATTACAGGAAAAAAATCTGTCAAAACTACAAACACATGGAGGCTAAACAATATGCTACTAAATAACCAAGAGATCACTGAAGAAATCAAAGAGGAAATCAAAAATACCTAGCAACAAATGACAATGAAAACACGACAACCCAAAACCTATGGGATGAGCAAAAGCAACCCTAAGACAGAAGTTTATAGCAATACAATCCTACCTCAAGAAACAAGAAAAATCACAAATAAAAAACCTAACCTTACACCTAAAGGAATTAGAGGAAAAGAACAAAAACAACCCAAAGTTAGCAGAAGGAAAGAAATCATAAAGATCAGATCAGAAATAAATGAAAAAGAAATGAAGGAAACAGTAGCAAAGATCAATAAAACTAAAAGCTGGTTCTTTGAGAAGATAAACAAAATTGATAAACCATTAGCCAGACTCATCAAGAAAAACAGGGAGAAGACTCAAATCAATAGAATTAGAAATGAAAAAGAAGAAGCAACAACTGACACTGCAGAAATACAAAGGATCATGAGAGATTACAACAAGTAACTATATGCCAATAAAGTACACAACCTGGAAGAAATGGACAAATTCTTAGAAAAGCACAACCTTCCAAGACTGACCAGGAAATAGAAAACACAAACAGACCAATCACAAGCACTGAAATTGAGACTGTGATTAAAAACCTTCCAACAAACAAAACCCAGGACCAGATGGCTTCACAGGCAAACTCTATCAAACATTTAGAGAAGAGCTAACACCTATCCTTCTCAAACTCTTCCAAAATATAGCAGAGGGAGGAACACTCCCAAACTCATTCTATGAAGCCACCATCACCCTGATACCAAAATCAGACAAAGATGTCACAAAGAAAGAAAACTACAGGCCAATATCACTGGTGAACATAGATGCAAAATCCTCAACAAAACACTAGCAAACAGAATCCAACAACATATTAAAAGGATCATACACCATGATCAAGTGGGGTTTACCCCAGGAATGCAAGGATTCACTGTTGGCAGATGACATGATATTATACATAGAGAATCCTAAAGATGCTACCAGAAAACTACTAGAGCTAATCAATGAATTTGGTAAAGTAGCAGGATACAAAATTAATGCACAGAAATCTCTTGCATTCCTATACACTAATGATGAAAAATCTGAAAGAGAATTTAAGGAAACACTCCCTTTTACCACTGCAACAAAAAGAATAAAATACCTAGGAATAAACCTACCTAAGGAGACAAAGACCTGTATGCAGAAAACTATAACACACTGATGAAAGAAATTAAAGATGATACAAATAGATGGAGAGATACACCATGTTCTTGCATTGGAAGAGTCAACATTGTGAAAGTGACTATACTACCCAAAGCAATCTACAGATTCAATGCAATCCCTATAAAACTACCAATGGCATTTTTCACAGAACTAGAACAAAAAATTTCACAATTTGTATAGAAACACAAAAGACCACCAAAAGCCAAAGCAATCTTGAGAATGAAAAACGGAGCTGGAGGAATCAGGCTCCCTGACTTCAGACTATACTACAAAGCTACAGTAATCAAGATAGTATGGTACTGGAACAAAACCAGAAATATAGATCAGTGGAACTGGATAGAAAGCCCAGAGATAAACCCATGCACATGTGGTCACCTTATTTTTTTTATTTTTATTTTTTTTGTGGTACACGGGCCTCTCCCGTTGCGGAGCAGAGGCTCCGGACGCGCAGGCTCAGCGGTCATGGCTCACGGGCCTAGCTGCTCCGGGGCATGTGGGATCTTCCTGGACTGGGGCACGAACCCGTGTCCCCTGCATCGGCAGACAGACTCTCAACCACTGCGCCACCAGGGAAGCCCGTGGTCACCTTATTTTTGATTTAGGAGGCAAGAATATACTATGGAGAAAAGATAGCCTCTACAATAAGTGATGTTGGAAAAACTGGACAGCTACATGTAAAAGAATGAAATTAGAACACTCCCTAACACCATACACAAAAATAAGCTCAAAATGGATTAAAGACCTAAATGTAAGGCCAGACACTATCAAAGTCTTAGAAGAAAACATAAGCAGAACACTCTATGACATAAATCACAGCAAGATCCTTTTTGACCCACCTCCTAGAGAAATGGAAATAAAAACAAAAATAAACATATGGGACCTAATTAAATTTAAAAGCTTTTGCACAGCAAAGGAAACCATAAACAAGACGAAAAGACAACCCTCAGAATGAGAGAAAATATTTGCAAATGAAGCAAGTTACAAAGGATTAATCTCCAAAATTTACAAGCAGCTCAAGCAGCTCAATATCAAAAAAACAAACTATGCAATCCAAACATGGGCAGAAGACCTAAAAAGACATTTCTCCAAAGAAGATGTACAGATTGCCAATGAACACATGAAAGAATGCTCAACACCAGTAATTATTAGAGAAATGCAAATCAAGACTACAATGAGGTATCACCTCACACCGGTCAGAATGGCCATCATCAAAAAATCTAGAAACAATAAATGCTGGAGAGGGTGTGGAGAAAAGGGAACTCTCTTGCACTGTTGGTGGGAATGTAAATTGATACAGCCACTATGGAGAACAGTATGGAGGTTCCTCAAAAAACTAAACATAGAACTACCATATGACCCAGCAATCCCACTACTGGGCATGTACCTTGAGAAAACCATAATTCAAAAAGAGTCATGTACCACAATGTTCACTGCAGCTCTATTTACAATAGCCAGGACATGGAAGCAACCTAAGTGTCCATCGACAGATGAATGGATAAAGAAGATGTGGCACATATATACAATGGAATATTACTCAGCCATAAAAGGAAACGAAATTGAGTTATTTGTAGTGAGGTGGTTGTACCTAGAGTCTGTCATACAGAGTGAAGTAAGTCAGAAAGAAAAACAAACACCGTATGCTAACACATATATATGCAATCTAAAAAAGAAAAAATAGTTATCAAGAACCTAGGGGCAGGACGGAATAAAGATGCAGATGTAGAGAATGGACTTGAGGACACAGGGAGGGGGAAGGGTAAACTGGGATGAAGTGAGAGAGTAGCAGTGACATATATACACTACCAAATGTAAAATAGATAGTGGGAAGTAGCTGCAGAGCACAGAGAGATCAGCTCAGTGCTCTGTGACCACCTAGAGGGGTGGGGTAGGGAGGGTGGGAGGGAGATGCAAGAGGGATGAGATATGGGGATATATGTATATGTATGGCTGATTCACTTTGTTATAAAGCAGAAACTAACACACCATTGTAAAGCAATTATACTTCAATAAAGATGTTAAAAAAAAAAATACCAGTTGATTGCAGAAAATTGCACCTAGCTGAACCAAGCTGAATCCACACGCGCACACACAAACACACTCTCAAACATCTATCAGTTACTTCAGATCACTGTGTTTTACGAGCCACAGCACTTCATCTGGTGTAACAACTTTCTGTTCAAATTTAGATAACCCTCTTTTCACCGCTTCATGAAGTTTCTGAGTGTTTCCCTAACCACATTTTCCCTAAGCTCTGTGGGTTTCATTATATAATTTTGCATGGCACAGTGACTTTGAGGAACACACATGTGTTACAATAGAGTCAACTGTAATTTCACCATATCCTACACTAACCCTACCACAGTGCATAATCAAATACTGTGAATCACCAATGTTGGATTACTCCTTGTTTCTTCTTCTAGACCAAAACAACTATGTGATAAAGGGAGTGTTCTTTTTGTGATCTCCAGTATGGTAGTCACTAGGCACAAGTAGCTCCTGGTTGCTTGAAAGTTGACTAGTACAACTGAGAAACTGAAGTTTTAACCTGAATTAAATTTAAACAGCCGCATGCAACTAGTGGCTACTCATTAGACAGGATAATCCTAAATCTGTATTCTAAAAATCAAGCCCAGCTTTTATTTTCTCACTTCCATTTAGTTTTGTAAAGTAGCTGGTTGAAGACAAGCAGGGATGGAGAAAATGCTGTAAAGACTGGATGTACGTATAATGTTATATTACATAAAACCTATTTTTATATCAATAATATCTACCATTTACATTTACCATAGCTGTTTGCCAGGCACTGAGATAAGAATTTTATGAACACAACTGTTATCACCTCATTCAACCCTAATAACAACACTATGAAGTCATTATTGCTAAGCACACTTTACATACAAGGAAATATTGGCTCACAAAATTTAATGGTTCCCTCTCAAGTCCACTATGGCAGTGATCCCTTTTCTCATCCCTCTGCCTCTAATCTTGCCCTTGATACAATGCATCATCTTACAAATCGAAATTGGAGTAGTCTCCCAAATAAGTAACAATTCTGGTCCTTCTCCTCTGTTCCTCCTAGACACACTCTCATCCACCTTTAATGTCTTTTAGCCTGACAATATAAGGTAGGGAGCCCAGAATCCTATCTGCTAACTTCTCTTCATAGAAGCCTTTTAGGGAGACCTTTATAAGACAGTTTAAAAATTACTAACAGAATAAATTGTTAAGTCCACACTATCTGGCCCCTTGCCTTCCTGTTCTACCTCTTATGACTCCCTCCCTCCTCCTATGGAATTGATGCTACAACTGTATGCTCTCTCTGCAGTGCCCACCACTTCTTTGTCAAATACCTACTCATCACAAGCCAGCCATGAATTCCTTCATTTATTAATCAAACAGATAGTGCCACCTTGTGCCAGGCCCTACTCGGGTTGCTGAGGATATATCAGTAAAGAGCGCTATTTGAGAAAGTCAAGTCTTTAGGACATTTTGATAAGAAGTCTATTAGAGCCACTCTTGTTTATAACCCAACTCCTATTCCAATTCCAGCTTACCCACTGATATTCCAATTTTTAAATTTGGTAACTATGAGCCTAACATCCGGAAGTGGATACATTAATAATTTCACTTTTCAAAAACAAAATAAAACAAACTCAAACATACCCCTTCTTCAGACAAACAAGCAAGACGATCTATGAGTTCGGGGTTAGCAGTTAGGCTTTTTACATATTCTTCACCTGAAAAATAAGTTTTTTGTTCTTGATAAATTCAAATGTGGTTTTTTTTCCTCCTTAGATATGTTTTTTCCCCTTCTTTTGTTTGTGACAGTACATATGTCAATTTTTTTTGGTGGGGGGGAAGCCCTCTGTTGAGGTGGTCACGCCCAAAGGCAGTGGGTCAAGTATATCTATAAGCTTTCATTGCTAAGCCAATTCCAAGTCTTGATAGGGAAATTAATAGCCACTGGTGGTACAACTCACTTAGCTTAGAAATGCTGAGAAACAAAAAAAAACACAAAAATATCACATTAAGTTATATAGGACTATGAAAATACCAAATGGTCAAATGAACATCTGATTATGGGCCTGATGATAGTTTTTACATGCATTTGCAAACATGAACTAACAGTCCAGTCTCCATGGAGACTTACAAGTGAAAGCTGGTATCCCTTCTTCGATGGCTTTCTCTTTGTTTTTCCTGTCATTGGTTATGAAGATAACTCGCAGCTGATTCTCTGCCGACATTTTCTTCAAATGTTCATTGTACCACTTTGCTGCTACTCGAATGGCTCTATCATTCCTGTCATTAGAAGTTTCTCCCTGTAATTGTTCTACATAAGTTTCTCTAAGTGTAATAGAAAGGGAAAAAAAAGAAACAAATGGAAAACAACAGAATCAAACACATGTAAAAAGTCTTAGGACATAAATGCTTAATAATTACTAAACTTAACGTCAATGGTACATCTTTTTCTCTTGAATGTATTCACATTTATAACTCAGAGTGGAAACAAATAAGATCCCTCTAGTCACGTTTTTAAGACAACAACTTACTTGGAAAAGAAGAAAATCACATTAATGGAGCAATAAAAAAGACTAAAATAAATTTTTTTCACCAAAAGAAAAATTCAAGATCAGAATTTCTACTTGAGGTTGGGACACTAAAAAAGTAATAGTCTGTTGGAAAAAAACTATACTAAAACTTTGCAGGTCTGATAATGAGATTTCATTCAAACTGTAGATTAACAGGAATTCCTAAAAGCTATTGATTGTATGATTAGATGATTTGTGATGATATGATTAATGTATAGTTATTAAATACATAATGCACATAAATTATCCATGGTAAACCATGAATAAATGACAAACACCATCTAGGGACTGAAAGACCAGATACAGATATGATTGTATATTCCTTCTAAGTCTATCCACTCTGAGCTATCAAATGTCAGCATACTTATTTCTTTAAATCTGATCTTTGAAGCTAAATTTAAGTACAATAACAAAATTCACCACAACAACTTCTACCTACTTCTTAAAAATTATAGGCTCAATTTTAGAATTCTGTACTTATTTATATGGTTTTCAGAATTATTTTATTATTCACCATTAAATAAACCTGATAATGCTTTTAAGCTTATCAAAGACACTCATAAATTTTTGAATTGGTTTTAGCGTGACTGAGCAACAACCTGACATGAGATTTGCTCGAGTGTCTTAATTCTTCCTGTCAACCCCAGTATTGCTAAGCTCTATTCACTGCACTTAAGCTAACAAAACTGCTAACCTTGGATTAAAAATCCAATGATCATGCTCCACAGACACTAGGTCTTTAAGCGCTAAAAAACAGTGAAGTTTCTGTTTCTGGATTTCGAGAGGAGACAGAAATAAGAAGTCTACAGGTGCTTAACTGATGTTCTTTACAACAACAGTATTTAAGTGTGGGATATAAGAATAAAGAAGAGAGGGCTTCCCTGGTAGCACAGTGGTTGAGAGTTCGCCTGCCGATGCAGGGGACACAGGTTCGTGCCCCGGTCTGGGAAGATGCCACATGCCGCGGAACGGCTGGGCCCGTGAGCCATGGCCGCTGAGCCTGCGTGTCCGGAGCCTGTGCTCCGCAACAGGAGCGGCCACAACAGTGAGAGGCCCGCGTACCACAAAAAAAAAAAAAGAATAAAGAAGAGAAATTTGAGAAATTAAATATTTTTAATTTGCATATTCCAGTGGGATTTCATTATTACATCTACTGTCTAATCTAGCAGTTCTCAACCAGGGAGTGATTTTCCCCGCCAGGGGACATTTCACAATGTCTGGAGACATTCTAGGTTGTTACAGCTCGGTGGATCGGTGGGGAAGGGGAGGTCTGTTACTGGCATCTAGTGCATATAGGCCAGGGATGCGGCTAAACATTCTACAATTCCTAAGACAGCCTTCCCGTAACAAAGAATTATCCAGTCCAATATGTCAATAGTGCCAACATTGAGAAACTCTGATCTAATAAAAGTAAATTAGGGACGTCCCTGGTGGCGCAGTGGTTAAGAATCCGCTTGCCAAGGCAGGGGACACGGGTTCGAGCCCTGGTCCAGGAAGATCCCACATGCCGCAGAGCAACTAAGCCTGTGTGCCACAACTCCTGAGCCTGCGCTCTGGAGCCCACGTGCCACAACTACTGAAGCCCTTGTGCCTAGAGCCTGTGCTCCTCAACAAGAGAAGCCACTGCAATGAGAAGCCCGCGCACCACAAGGAAGAGTAGCCCCTGCTCACCGCAACTAGAGAAAGCCTGTGCGCAGCAATGAAGACCCAATGCAGCAAAAAATAAATAAATAAAATAAATTTATAAGGAAAAAAAAGTAAGCTAGGACTCATCATAAATTATTTCTGTAACATAAGGAACAGGCAATATCATATTTTCTAAGATCACACATTAAGTTCAAACAAAGGTCTTGAATCTGAAACATGAAGAATTCTATTTCTTAACCTTATTGTCGTCAATATGATCTGTTATAAGGTATTAGTTTAACTGTTAAGAGCCCATTAAGAATATATCTGCTTTATATTTTTAAAGCTTTCCTTTACAAACTCCTATATTTTATTAACCTTTGTTGGTTATTTGCTTAATATGGTATACCAGGAACCTAGGCAAATCTCGTCTTCCAAAATCCTATTGCTCGACTCATGCTAAAACCAATTCAAAATGAAAACATTTTGGAAATTAAAGTACCTACCATAGCCGAGGAGCCAGGAGACTTTGGTTCTGGGTTTGACCCAATCAATGCCTATGTGACCTTAGCAAGGTTTGTAAACTCTGTAAGAACCAAATATTACTCTCAGAAGTATGAAACCTATGGTGTATCTTCTGACGATGTCACAGATTACCGCCAGGAACTCTCCCCCCAGTTTAGCTAATTCTATAGTTTTCTGATAATTGACATAATTTCCCCCCTACCTATGGTGCTCGTTAGTAAATGTATAGAAATGCTTCTCCTGGTTATTAGTCACATCTCGGATTCGTTTATATACCGGAGCACTCCGATTTCTCACTTCTTGGAGAACTGTTTGTAGCACAATGACATTCCTGATGGCAGGGTCCTCAAGGACATCAATCTTTTAAATAAATAAACAAATAAATAAATAAACGAAGAGTTAATTTTTCCTCTGTTCATTCATAAATTGCTTCTGTTGAACGTGAAACTCTGCCGGTTAAAAAAAAAAACACTAACCGTACATTAAATAAGGAGCTATTTTGCAACAGAAAACCCTTCAGGTCCATTAAAAAAGTACACATGTAAATAGGCTAATTACAAAACTTTGTAGAATTAACTTCATTAATAAAGTAATACGTTGGCCCACATAGCTTTCGTTCGTAGGCACTTACAAGCTGCCTGGGGGTCGCAGGCTGGAGGCCACAGAAGCCCAGGTCCCCGACCTCCAGACATTAAAATCTAAGGCAGAAGAGACACCAGGAGTTAGAAAACTGACGTATTTAAAATTCCTATAACTCCAAGAACTCAAAAAAAAACCCCAAAACAAAACAGTACATGGAAAAGAACCTCGGCCTGGGGGGGCAGGAGGCATAGGTCCTGACGGGGTTTGCCTCTCCCTAAGTACGTGATGTTGCCCAAGACGCTCCTCCTTGGGCATCAGTCTCCCTATCTCCCTTTCTCCCGGTGGCGCCGCTGTGCCCGCGGTTCGCCCGCCTACCGGCGCACCTGGTGGAGCAGCACGTTGGTGTCCGGCAGCAAGTAGTGCGGCTGCGGGCAGAGGCTGCTAACCCGATCCAGGGGCTGCGGCTCGAGGACCGGCCCCTCGTGCGCACTTCCGCACGCCGCGCATCCAGACGCACCGCAGCCTATGTCGTCTCGCAAGTAGTGCTCGCGCACGATCTTCATCACGCCGCCCGCCCGCGTCTTTTTTAAGAAAGTCCTGGACTTGAGCATCTTGCCTCGCGGCTTGGAATCCCGACCTCAACAGTTCTCTTCCGGCGGAAAATGTCAAGCTTGGAACCCTGTCGCACAACTACACTTTACCCAGAGGTTTGCTCCTTCCCCCTCCAGGATATTAGTAAACCCCTCTCGCGGGGAAACCTCGAGACAGCCGTTGGTTGGCTCTCTGAGGGCTGCGAGGATTGGGCGAAAGCGGGTAGATGGGAGGAGCCCGGAGCCATTTCCGCCCGTGAATTGAGCGGGGCCGCCTCCGGACTCCATCTCCCAGCATGCTTTGCTTCCCGCGCCTGGGTGGACGCGGGAGGGCTGAGTTCCGGTAGCGTGGGCATCTGCCTGCTGCAGCTTCCTCCCTGTGCGGAAATGGTTGTTTTGGTTACGGGTGGTAACGGTCACCGACCTGTGATTTCTCGTTAAGAGACTGCAACCCGAGCTGCTGTCTGGAGACACCTTCAGCTCACCTAAAGTAGCAGCGGTGGCGGCTTCTCTAGCCTGCGACGTGGAGTAATTGAAGCGTTCCAGGTAGCTCACGGCTCGCCCCTTCCTTTTGTGCCTGGGACAAGGAATCTTCTGATGCTGCCAAATTCGGGTTTTATTCTTCACGCCGCACGTGTGGGCAGTGCCAGTCCCGGACCCTTTGTATCCCAGGTGATGTTGCCTGTCTTTGATTTCGCCTTTCCTTATCCCTTTCCCTTTAAAAACGAGGGAAGCCGATCCAGTCAGAGTTCTTAGGTTTCCCTTCCACACACCTTTTTTCTAATCGTTCAGTTTAGAAAAACTGATATCTACAATACCGTAAGTAATTTATTATATCGTGTAGTATTAAAACGAGGGAGTTGCTGAAATTTTTGTGAAAGGGTAAGGAGTTCGAGGAATTTGTCTTTTACTCTCTTGTTTTCATTTTGCTATCTGCAAGTCTATAAAAAAGTTTTATCTCACTATTTCCCTTTTAAAAAAAACTTAACTGATGCCTCATTGCCTGTAGAATAAATTTCGAACATACTGAAACATTCAAGGTCCTCCACAGTCTTGATTATGTATAAGGGACAACCCTTCTGTGTGTTTGTGTTTGGAGTCACTACTCAGATTCACATGGGCTTGGACCAGGCTGACTACTACTATGTCCCTCTGTTGTTTTACACTTTCATCAGTTCTATACCAACCTTAAAATGTGAATGATTTTCCCTTTTTATTACTCCTTTCCAAATCCTTCAAGATTCTAAGTCCTACCTCTGTATAACCTTCCCCTGACCAACTCAGAAGAAACTTCTCTATCTTCATGTGCTGCTTTTATTAGTAGTATTCCTGGGTACTAGCGATTTAGGGCTTTATTGTTTATCTCATACATTTCTTTGTTTAGTCCAAGTAAGAGTCCTGCCCCCAGGAACTGGGTTTTCTATTCATAAAAAGTATGGGTTCAAAAAAAAAAAAAGCATTGTAAAGCAACTATACACCAAGAAAAATTAATTTTAAAAAAAGTATGTTTTAGAATAAGACTTAATGAGTTTGATTTAATATGTTTGATTTGAGCAGTAACTTAACCAATCTGCCCTAGATTTGGGGTCCTCCAGTTTGCCTAATATTTACTTAGGGAACCCTTAGTATCTCTTTGATATACTTTATGCTTTCCATAGAGAATGTTTGAGTACGTTTAAATCAATATTTTTTAATCTACAGAAAATTGAAATAGAATTGGAGAAGAAAAGTGTCCCATAATAATTAAAAATGTCTCAAAAAGTTGCCAAGCCATCAAAAACACTGAACATCTCTAGCTCTCTGGAATCTGAAGATATTAGTCTAGAAACAACAGTTCCTACAGATGATATTTCCTCATCAGAAGAGAGAGACGGTAAAGTCAAAATCACCAAGCAGCTAATTGAACGGAAAGAACTGCTTCATAATATTCAGTTACTGAAAATAGAGCTATCACAGAAAAATATGATGATCGACAATTTGAAGGTTGATTATCTTACAAAGGTAAGATCATGTGTAAATTTGCTATCTGTGTGCTTTATTGTCTTGAAACTGCAGATATATAAGAATTAAGTTTATGTAATCTGAACTTAAAATGATAAATTTAAAATATCAAGAAAAGAATTATACTTTCTTGCATAGTTTAAAAAAGCTGTTTTTAAAAAGAGAAGGGGGGCTTCCCCAGTGGCACAGTGGTTAAGAATCCACCTGCCAATGCAGGGGACATGGGTTCAAGACCTGGTCCGGGAAGATCCCACATGTCGCAGAGCAGCTAAGCCTGTGCGCCACAACTACTGAGCCTGTGCTCTAGAGCCCGTGAGCCACAACTACTGAAGCCCACGTGCCACAACTACTGAAGCCCGTGTACCTAGAGCCCGCACTCCACAACGAGAAGCCACCGCAACAAGAAGCCCGCGCACCGCAACTAGAGAAAAACCACCCACAGCAGTGAAGACCCAAAGCAAAAATAAAATAAATAAATAAATTTATTAAATACATAAGTAAAATAAAAGGAGAAGGGAAGTGAATAATAGTTCTATGTACCAAATAAAAAGTCTTGAAAGAAGGGGTGACTTAAAGGTGGGCAGGGATGAATTCCTTCTGTAGGCTCAGTTGTTTTTTTTTTTCTTTTTTGGTGATACGCGGGCCTCTCACTGTTGTGGCCTCTCCCATTGCGGAGCACAGACTCCGGACGCACAGGCTCAGCGGCCATGGCTCACGGGCCCAGCCGCTCCACGGCATGTGGGATCTTCCCAGACCGGGGCATGAACCCGTGTCCCCTGCATCGGCAGGCGGACTCTCAACCACTGCGCCACCAGGGAAGCCCCTAGGCTCAGTTTTTTTAATGTATTATGTGTGAGGTATATTTTCTCCAGTGTTTTTTTCTGGCCAAGTTTTTTCTGCTTCATTGAGAATTAACCCTGATGTGACTAGTTGGATAGGGAGAATCAAGATCATTATTACATTACTGAATCTGTTTAGTCCTCTAGCATGGAGATTTGGTTTCTTTATATCTTGCTCTTTGATAGTTACTGTGTCATAGTACCAAGTGTAACAAATTCACTTACCCTATTCTTTAACAAGTGGTATCTGCCAAGTAACAAGGGATGCCCTAGTCCTTGTTTTTCTGCCTTGTGTGTTTATTTACAGTTACGGAGTGTTTTATGTAAGGCCTGTTAAAGTTGTCGCTAGTTATAAAAAATTTATAGTGATTTCAGAAAGACAGGATAAACATTGTAACTCTTACTACTTCTGTCTTCTGAGAAAGTCTTTTCTTTCCAGTAGTAAACCCTCCATCTTTGCTCTTGATCCCACCTCTTCCTATCTCTTCCCCTCCCCATTTTGTTTCAGTTATATTTACCTTCTCTCTTGTTAAGTCAGTCTTGGTTAGTTCTTGCCTATGTATAAGTATCATGCTGCTAGAAAAATTTCTTGACCATGCCTCTCTAGGAAAATGAAATGTCCTAAATCCCAAGGTCTTGATGATGTAAAGAAATCATTTAGGTACATTTAAATATATATATTAGTAGCTAACATTTATTGAGTGCTTATTCTGTTCCAGACCCTGTTCTGTGAGCTTTTTCATGTATTATCTCATTTAAGCCATACAGCTCTTTGAGGTGTAGGAGCTTTTAGGGGGATCTTCTCTGACCTCTCATATTAAATGAATCAATAGCATAAGTTAGACTGATATTTAGTAAGTACACAATAAGTATTAGTCATTGTTGCTGTTATTAACTAAAGTAATATTCTCATTTTTTTCACTCTGCTTATTTTCTGTGCCTTACATCTATGCTCATAGGACTACCTGCCTTGTTTGTTGGGTATTTGTCTCTCTTAATAAAGTGTAAGGATCCTGAGGACAGGGACTTCTTTGTAGTCCCTGTTGTATCTCTAGCACTTAGAACTGTCCCTGGCACCTAGTAAGTGCTCAGCTGTTTCTTAACTGAGTGACTTAACCTCATTTTGCTGTTGAAAAAAACAGAACCATAACTGGTTAATAGCTTACCAAGGCCATTCAGATGGAAGTGATGGAGCCAGGTGGGATTAACACCAAGAAGTCTAATGCCTATGCTCCATCCAAGTAAACCTCCTAAGACTTCCTTTTAGGTTCTTTATGAAGTCACCTACCTAGACTAGGTCACTTGGTATTTTATCAGTGTATCCTGTGGTTTCCCATTCTTTTCCCTTAGTCATATTGTTTTTACTCTTCAAATGGACTGCCACAGTGTTACTGGCTCATGTATCTCTATCCTTAAGACCTCCTTCAATGGAAGTCATTGAAGAAGCCTGAGGTAGTATCCCACTTGTTAATCTACCCACTCAGTCAACAAATATTCTATTAAGTGCCAACTGTATACCACATTGAAAATTACATTTTGTTTGGCCACTTTTTAAATTATTTGTTTTCAGCTTGCATTGTGCTTGGTTATAAATAGCTTCTCTCCTTTTTAAAGTGTAACGTTTACATTATTGGCATGGTGGTTTATTCATGAGAGGCTTTCTGGTATAACAGATCAGAGCTGCAGTTCCAGACACACACAGTTTGAGTTTGAATCCCAGCCCTTATAGTTACCTTGAGCAAATTCCTTAAGTTTTTATTCCCTGATTTCCTGTAAAATAAGAATAATCATAGTTTTTACTTCATGGAGTTGTTGGAGGATTAAATTAATCAAGGCACATAAGCTCTTAGATGCCTGGTATATAATAAATAATAGTAGTTATATTTATTCAGCACTGTATATTATTATTATTGTATCCCATGGTGCTTAGTATAGTTTTTTACTTTTGTGGTTTTCTGGTTGGGCTGAAAATGTAGAAGATTAAGTTAGTCATATTCCTGAGCTTATGACACACAGTCATCATTGATCCTTGCAAGATCACTTCTTATTTTGTACATTTATTCTTTTTATTCACATAATTCATTTCTCTTCCTCCCTTTCTCTATGTTTGTTTTTTCCTTTTAACATTTATTCTTTAAAAAAAATTATTGAGGTACAGTCAATTTACAGTATTATATAAGTTTCAAGTGTACAACATAGTGATTCACAATTTTTAAAGGTTATACTCAACTTATGGTTGTTATAAACATTTATCTTGAACACGAGTATTTTTCTTATTTTTTACCTTTACATAAATCTGAATTGCATGTTTTGTTTTAGATTTTATTTCTTTTATAGTTTTTCTTTCAACTCAGTGCGGTTTTTAAGATCCTTCATGTTACCACGTGCAAGTCTGTGCTTTGCTTCCAGCAGCTACACAGTTCAGGTGTGTGTCTACCCATCCGTCCACCCATTCCCGCAGCGATAGGCACCCAGGCTGCCTCTAGCTCCTTGCCACCACATGCAGCGTGGCCTTCTTTAGACATTCCTCTTCTGGACCTGGTGTGAACATTTCTTTGACATATATACTAAGGAGTGGAATTTCTGGCTCACAGGGTATATGTCTACTTAATTCAAGTGTACTTCCAAATTGCTCTCCAGAGTAGCTGCCTGCTCTACATTCCTGTGTTTCTTGTCTATGAGCACTAGGGTTGTCCTGCTTAGAGACCCCTTGGGGTAATATATTTGCTGTCAAATATGGGAGGAAGTATTATATGGTAGAAGAATTACTCTTCCTTAATTCATCAAATCCAAGCCACCTGGATTGGAAGACGGACCACTATGTGTATTGCTAGGGTTAAACACTGCCAAGTTAAACTGTTATGTGCTGTAGTTTGTAAGATGCATTCCAGCTTCAGAGATGAAAAATGTGGAAAAGTGTCCGTCTGGGATTGATGAAGAAACAGTATTTTTAGCCACTCATTCATTCTCCAAAGCTTACCAGTACATTGAACATCAGGGATACGAAGATGAAAATGTCGCATTCTAGCATTACAAAAATAAATTTCCCTCCCAAGACTATAGCTCCATGATAATGGTTGGAGTGGGAAGCTGGGAAGTGTAAGTCTTTAACTGGACAGATTGTTGTCTCTAATAAAAACCAGAGTTACCTGAGAAAGAGGGGAAAACTTGATGTTGGGAGACAAGTAACAGTTTTTTCCATTCATCAAGGTCTTTTTTAGTTCGGAAATATGAGAATCTATATAATATAACTTCTCTCCACACCAGTATGGCAAGGGTACAATGCTTATGTTTATTACAGCTTAGTACTGGTGGTACAGTTTATTACTAAGAATGTCTCGACCCATGTTGATTTGACAGAAGCAGGTTGGTCCCAGGAAACTTAAAAAGCATGGATTCCCCCTCCCCACTCAGCTGCTTGCTGACTGAGAGCACTGGGAAGGCGAGCCGCTCAGGCCAAACTTCCTAATCTTAGAGGATTGTTAGCTTTGCACTTTTATCCCCACTTATTGCTACCTAAATCGCTTTCCTTATTCCCCTCCTTACTCCTTTCTTCCTCATTCTTCTTGCTTGTCAATTTTTAAATGCCAAAATCTCTCTTGGTTTATTTCTCATTGGAGATCTGTGGGTTCTTTATTGCTTGGAAATGGAGGAGTGAATCTCCCTAGCTTGACTGTCTCTGAGTTGAGGGACTTAATCTAAAAGTCAGTTAAAATTGTAGAAGTTCTAACCCTGGAAAAAACGGAAGTTTCTCCTTGTGGTAACAGTTTTCTTGATTTGCAAAATAGTAATTATGAGGAATGTGGTTATCTTTTGTTGATTTAAGACATTTATTGAGACATGTTGCCAGGAATATAGCAGTAAATATGACAGAGTCCCTTTTTTATGGAGATCACATTCAAGTGAGAGACATGATCAAACAACAATTAAACAAGATATCTTCAAGATATGTGACGTGACATTGCTCAGCAGTGCGAGTTTTCTGCTTTGGATAGGGAGTCAGCAAACTTTCTCTGTAAAGGCCTGGGCCAGACAGTAAATATTTTATGCTTTGCAGGCCACATATGGTCTATCACATATTCTTCCTTCTTTTTTTTTTTTTCTTTTAGCACCTTTATAAATGTAAAACCTATTCTTAGCTCATGGATAATCAGGAACAGG